AATGTCTTGAGATTTATTCTGCGTTAAGATGGTTAATTTATGTGCCTTAATTTTTGTTCTAGACAAGTGTTTGTAGAGTACCCAATTTGTCCTATTTTAGTTACAAACTTATGAATAAATGATGGTTAATTTGAAAAAGGCAAGACAGATCTCTCCAAAATCTGTGTTAAATTGACTACGAATATCATATCTTTTACCATGAGAAATGTTTAATCTGCGCGAGTAGTAATAGTCAAGTTATAAGAGGAGAAAGATGCACATCTGCATGTTTTAACTAAAGACGATCAGCGTTAGCTCTTATTTACTATTAAACAAGAGAAAGTTACTTTGTGGTTGTTCATGAATCATGCTGTGTCTGTGGCACCCTGCATACAACTAAAAAGATATAAAATGAGCGATTAACCCCTACAAAACCGTGTAAATACATGGGTAGAGATAAACGTCTTGTATGGAATAAAAATAATGACAGCTAACATCGTTAGTTTTTGTGTCGGAAATATGCACGGACACAACTATGAACGTAAAGAAATCAGTCACGTTGTCAGTTATTGCAGATGATCATAAAAACGAAAAATAAAGCTGGAAAAATCTGGTGTTGATTCAGTGTCCCTGGAAAGCTAGAAATTATTCTTATAACCCAATTACAAGAAGTCATCCCTGTTTTTCACTCAACTTACAAAAGCTAAACTTAGCGTTTTATGAAGCTGTATTCTGGCACTAAAATTGAATTGTACTTTTAATAGAGATACTTCATGGTAGCTTTTATCAATTTTCGAGAAAATATGCGAATATTCACGAATTATATTAGACACATAAAGTTTTATTCGGAGGAATTACTTCATGGCGAATTGTGTGCCCGATGGATAAAGTTGCAAAATTACAGCTTTCTATTATATGGGCAGATGCCATCTTTTCTGAGTATCAGCACCAATGCTATGTTGTTCATGTTCCAAAAGTTCGACAGATTTTGTCAAGGCCTTTCTTTATATTGATTTTTCTTCATTCACGCTAGTCCAAAAAAAATTACAATTTAGCATTGCCGACTCCAACGCGTCAAACGAAATAACCAGACAAGTTAAAACGTCCGTTCTTTTTTTGAGTCTCAAGAGCAGAAATGCGTGCTTTGAGTGCACTAAATGAGAATTACCATAAATACAAGGATACACCTTAAATTGTACCAAAAGTACCAAAATTTAAGTCGGCCCAGACAGAGCGGCGACTTGGAGCTGACCCCCGTGACCCCGACCTGATAAGGCGCCCGGCGGGGAACCCCCAGCTACAACTAAAATTCCACTGCCGGTGCGCCGTGATCAACTTAAGAGCACAAATTATATTAAGAAGAGATTGAAAATGCAGATGCAAATACAAATGCACAACCCCCAAACCGGCAAAATGTGTATCTCTATATACATGTATTTGTCTTTGCCTGCTCATCTTGGCCCACACATTAACAATGTCACCATCATAGTATGAGATTTCGTGTAAACTTTCAGAACTTTCCGTGATACTGTAAAGACAACTCCTCTAGGGTGAGGAAAAGACGGTGCCCGCCTCGTGCAGAGGAATGTAGGACTTACATGATGTGAACAATTAACTGCTAACCAGATGCTGTAACTATTTTCAGTGGGCTTATTGTTGCACTTAGACATGTCATTTACTGATAAACGTTATATAAAGGAAGTACCATGATACTATGAATGTGTTTGTGTGTGTGTATATATATATGTCTATATTAT